AGGCTTTTCTCCCCCGCTTGGACGTCCGTTGAGACTCACGGTCTCTTGCGTCGAGCTGCTCGATCGGACCGTTGGCGGGGCGGTGCTCGGCCTGGCTTCCTGGAGGTTCCTGGAGGGCAATTGTCCTCCTCCTGGACAATGGGACAAGAGAGATCTAACTTACGCAGGAAGCTCGTCGTGCTCTTTGCACCCGTCGTCCTGGCGTCAAACCCAAGGATCGTGTTCTTGTTCGATTGAGGGGAAAATCAGAGATAACCTGCATGGATCGACCTTGCATGGCGATAACATCATTCTTCACTGCACGGGCCTCCGGCGTGTTCATGGCTCTGGGACTGGTGAGTGGTGAGTTTGGCCCAGCAATTGGATGGGGAAAATGTGGGAAAACAGGAGGAAACAAGGAGATCTCCACAGTGGGGAGCTAAGCTCAAGCTGCTGGTCACCGCGTGGTTCTTCCTCCTCGTCCTCTTCTCCTCCCACCTGAGCTTCACGCAACGCCGTCTGGTTGGCCCGCGCCGCAACTTACTCAGGTCAACAAGGTCAAGTTTCTCCGCAGCTCGGATGAAACTAGCAAAAGTACACCGTGACTAAAAGGCAAACATGATTCAGTCCTCCCAGCCCTAGGCATATTGAGCGAGCATACGGATATTCCGGTAGAAGGAACAACGGGACATGGCTACTACTCATGGAGACTCACCCTCAGAGCCTTTGCCTGAGTTGGGATTGCCTCACGGCAGTTGGAAACAACGAATACGCAGGGAAAAGCAAAAAAGAGGAAGCCCCAGAGAAGTCACCAACCGGGGCAGCGCTCAACGTGACACGGGAAACATGCACGAAACCGTTCACGCCCAGCAAATGGCTCATGTCACCCAGATTCATCCCCTACCTTAGGTCGGATCAAGGATCCACTGCCACGAGGGCTTCCTTCGATTGTCTGTTCCATTGACTGTTGCGCGGAATGTGTTTCTGCTAGTTACTTACGGTGAAGCAGAGTCACACCCGAAGGTTGATACCGCTCCGTTCCTTCACATAACCTAGCCTGACTGACGAACCCTGATCCCGTCCCGAACCGCTCAAACCTCTCCCCTCCCTTTCACCCCGTCCCGGCTTGCCTATCCAGCAATCTCCATTCAGACCTTCGATGCGTGTGAAGGCTCATTGGACTCCGTTCCCTACCTTACGTGATTAGTTGGGACACGGCTCTCGAGCCATGTGGAGAGCACGAAAGCTTACCTGCAAAGGGCATGCATCCGGGCCACACTTCCCGCTAAAGGGACGGGACGGATCAGTCCAACCAAAGTTTGGGCGATCTCTTTCGTACACCACTCACTTTTTTACTCTGCCGTCTCTACACACACTAGCTGATAGTGTTAGTCCATCTCCCGTGCTAGTTTCCTCCCTACCTCCCCTGAGCGAAAAGGAAAAAGCAAGCGCAAACCTCCCTTGCTCGGACGGCAGTCCGCAGCTTATATCGCAGCTGCGTCTCCCCCCTCCTTCTCCCCACCCCTTCCCATCAAGGATGACATTGACAAGCAAGCCGTCTGTGGTCGTCCGCGAGTTCCATGACCGGGGAGATTCGTCCCTTTTGATACGACCCAAGGGCACAACATCTGTTTAAGCTGCCCTGTTTTTCTTCCATTTTACCATTTCCCTCCTGTGGTTACAGACTTTTACACGGCAGCGTATTCATATCTGAACGAGAGCGAAGGCGCGATGAGGTGGATGCAGGCCGGTCTGGTGGCTGCGGTCGCCTTCTTTGGGGTATCACAGGGTGCGCTCACCGACTTCGTCGGCCAGCTGCCGCCATGCGGGGTGAGTATCATTTGGAATGCTTCGTTCGGGTGGCTTCTTCTTGAAGTATATTGACTTACTTTTGGATGGTGTTGGGTGGTTTAGTTGACTTGCATTATCAACGCGATACCAGCGTCAGCGTGCCATTCTGTCGACAATGACACCTGCATATGTAGCAATGAAGACTTGAAGGCGCAGGTGCAGGTATGCCTCCTCGCAAATTGTACGAGGATAGAAGCATTAGGTTCGTCCTATTCTTCGAAATTTGCTTGAGAAGAAGACTAACACGCCAATAGATGTCGCAAGGATAGAGGCCGAAGCATGCAATAGACCAACACGCGAGCGCAAGGTGGACATTTTGGCGCCGTTGGCCATTCAGATCACTGGCTTCTTGATGGTTCCGTTGCGGCTGTACGCGCGGTGGACCACGATGCATCACTTTGCTCCGGACGACTGGATCATGCTGTTCACAGGGGTATGTCACCACACGAGATATGTAGATGGCCGTCGATCTGACAAGTGACAGCTCATGTTTGCCGTTTTTGTCGTGCTTGGACAGATTGGTAAGCGCAGAAGACTCCGTCATCAAGTTCTCTACTGACAAGATTTAGCTGGTGCCGTTGCCTTTGGAGAAGATGTGTGGATGGTTAGGCCGGACGAACTAACATTCGGCCTCAAAGTCAGTCACCCTTCTGTCGTCACCGGAGCTGCATCTAACCGAACCAGGTGTTCTATGTCGACGAGAGCCTTTACCTAGCTTGCCTAGGCCTGACCAAGATATCAGTGCTATTCTTCTACCTCCGAATCTTCCCCAACAAACCGTTCCGCTGGGCAACGTACGGAACTATGGGCTACATCATCATCTCGACGACAGTCTTACTCTTCATGCAAATATTCCAGTGCATTCCCTTCGAGTTCAACTGGGTAGGCTGGCGCGGCGACTACGGCCCGCACCACTGCCTCGACATTAACATCCTCGCCTTCGTCGCCGGCGGGCTGAGCATCAGCCATGACATCATCATCATCCTCTTGCCGCTCCCGTTGCTCTACAAGCTAAACATGTCCAGACGCAAGAAGGCGGGCATCTTTTTCATGTTCGGCCTCGGCGTCTTCATCCTCATCACATCCTGCGTGCGGCTACAGTATATCGTCCTCTTCACGCGCTCGCTCAATCCGACATGGGACTTTACGGACCCGCTGATCTGGTCCGGGGTGGAGGTATCTGTGTCCATGATTGTGGTGTGTTTGCCGGCGGTCCGGACGCTGCTCAACCGCATTTTGCCGAGCATATTCGGGTCGACGGCCGCGACGGAGATTACACCAAATCGCAAGGCGTCTGCCGGATCTGGGTTCAGGTCCATCGACAGCAACCGGCAGTACCAGGGCCGGTTCGACTACGAGGAGGAGAGGAGAGAGGTCGCGCGGGCGGCGCGGCTGGTGGAGAAGAGGCGCAAGTTCTTCTCGTTCATACCGCAGGCTAGGGAGCCGAATGAGAGCGAGCTGGAGCTGGGGGACAAGTCCAAAGGGGAAGTGAGGACGAACATCAGGCATGCGGATGGTGGTGAGGCTGCTGAGACGAGGCGGAGCTCGATGGAGAGCGGGATTCACGTGAGCACTACGACTACGTTTGAGGACCCTCTAGGCAGAGGACAGAGGGACAAGGCAACTTTCTGAGGTGACCTTGCCTCACGAATGCAGAAGGATCAAGGCAGTCGATGGACCGGAGTCGCGATTCGGCGCCAGCTCGGGTTCACAGCACTGAGTCACTATTTGATGGCTATGGGATACTACTGGTCGGGGCATGGGATCTGTGATACCATTTGCATGGAGGGGCGTTGGTTTGACGGGCAATACATAAAACGAACTGAACAGTGTAAAAGTAATAGTATTATTTTGAACCTTCATCAAAACTTCCTTGTGAGGATGGATGCATGGTGGGGCTTGTCCGAACCACTGACTTGGACGTATCGATGGCTATACTGCTCGCAGCTGAAGCATCAGGCCACGATATCAGCCCAAACCGGGGCCCAACTCAATCGAAAAGCCAAGTTTGAATAAGAATGCGCCACGTGCTGGGAATATAGATCGAAAATCCAAGGGTCCAGGCCTAAAATATCTTGACCTTACGGGGGACACTTACTCTACACGAGAGACATATCGCCCGCAGACCTCGTCGCGGCTACGCATCGTTGACGGGATAAGGTTTGCATCCCCATCTCAAAAGTGGCGTGATTCCAGACCACCTGGAAGAAGTGCCGTCCATTTTCGATGTGGGAGATCACCAATCATCGGGCGCGCGGGGGCTGGTATGGAGGGAGCTTGATCGGAGCTTAATCTGTGTGTGTGCGTGTATGTGTGTCTGCGTATTACCAGGGGGAGGGGGCTGTTGATGTAGAACTCACGCGGGGTTCTCCGCCTGAAGTGGCCGCCTGAAACTGCAACACCACCTCTTTGAGCGGTTTCGTGGCTGGGGTGTGGTGAGCTGGGGAGCCTAGAAGGATGGTGGAAGAAGTATGCTTGGGATGAGGCATGTTGTGGCGGTTCGGGAAACGCGGATGGGGCTGGAATGGTGGGATTCAGGGACTGGACCCTTGATTGGGGTGATCCGTCAATTGCGGAGCTGTCCGGCCGATTTTCCCACGATGGCCCCGACAGGGAAGTCTTGGGCAAGGTAGTGGCTTTGTTGAAATGGGTTGCCGACAAGGGAAAAGGGATCCCGACACGGCAACCGGGTCCCGATGTCCGGCTCCGTGATGCGGCCGGGCAGGACCGGCGACCTTGCTCACACCGGAGTGATCCACATCCACAACGGCATTTGTGTGGTTGTGCAACCAACGGGGATTTGATGGTGCTCAAATTTCGTCGTACTGCATGAGGCATCTCGGTAACCCCGCTCATCTCACCGGTCTCCCTCCACTGTCACGGTGCGGGTGATGTAATGTCTTGCAACCACCATGCAGCCCAGCCAATGTGGACATGAACGCACGTATGAGGAAAATCGTAAACTGGAATCAGCTCAATATCCGACATGTTCCTGCAATGTGGCTGGCTGGATATGGCGATGGCCGAGACATCACAGCTGGGGCCGTTGACTTCCTCCACCTAGCCGACGCTGGTTCTCTACACGCTTTAGGCGCAGGCGAAAGGATCTCAAATGATGGATTTGGTAGGTTGGACGGATATAAGTCCGGTCGTTTTCTAAGAGGTCGCGCATGGCAAGTCGTGCAACGCACCGCATTCTCAGGAGTCTACTCCTCAGCATCAAATCTTCACGACAAGCAGCCACTCGCGACCGCTTATACCCCAGTGCCATCATGAGCCTGCTTCATCCCTCCCTCAGCCGCTTACGCGCTGCCGATCTCGCAGTCATAACCCGCCAAGTTCTGCAATCCCGATCACTCAGAAAACCCCTGAGCATCCTAGCCGCCTTCAGCCTCATCTACGCCCTCAACAAAGCCCTCGCACGCTGGTACCTCCGCACATCCTCGCCCTGGGATTGGTCCAAAGAGATCGTCCTCATAACCGGCGGAAGCAGCGGCATCGGCGCCCTCCTCGTGCGCAACCTCGCCGCGCGCGACATCAAAGTCGTCACCGTCGACATCCAGCCCCCTCTGACCCCCCTCCCGCCCAACGTGCGCTTCTACCAGCTCGACGTGACCTCTCCCGAGGCCGTGCGGTCCGTCGCGCAGCGCATTCGCGAGGATCTAGGCGACCCGACGGTACTGGTCAACAACGCGGGCGTAGGGACGGGCAAGCCGCTGCTCACGGAGACAGACGAGCAGGTGCGCCGGACGTTTGACGTGAACATTGTGGCGCAGTTCTGGATGGTGAGGGAGTTTCTGCCGGCGATGGTGAAGGCGGATCATGGACATGTGGTGACGGTCGCGAGCATGGCGAGCTTCCTGACGCTGGCGTCGAATGTGGGGTATTCGTGCTCCAAGGCGGCTGCGTTGTCGCTGCATGAGGGGTTGACGCAGGAGTTGAGGTACCGGTATAATGCGAGCAATGTGTGTACGAGGTATGTGATGCTCTCTGTCTTCGTCGAAAGTTGGGAAGCACTGGTCTGATATTGGGGGCAGCATCATCCACCCAATGTTCACGCGTACGCCCTTAATACAGCTTGCGACGGCCAAGGGCGACTTTCCGGCGGACCTGCTCGACCCGGAAGACGTTGCGGATGCTATCACGAAGCAGATACTCCGTGGCAGGAGCGGGTCGGTTTTCCTGCCTGGGTGGTGCAGCCTGATCTCTGGGATTCAGGGGTTCCCGACGATATTGCAGGAGTTGATAAGAGGGTCCAAGGCCCATGTGTTGGATGGCCGGTCTTTCGCTGCTTGATGTTGACAAGTTCGATACGGCTGCGTCAATACTCGAGGAAGTTCTGTTCTGAATAGGTTACCATAGCATCAACTGGGATGCATGGATGCCCGAGTGATATCGTGCTAATCTTCGGTCTCTGGAGCTGTCTTCTCATCATTTCAAATATCTACTAATAGGCTCAACGCATCTCGTGCAAAGCAGACAAAATCGTTGTCTCCACCGGGTGCTTCTACGCTTCGTGAACAACTTTTCGGAGGATGTTCGTGGCTGCCTTGGGCGAATACTTGCCGACTCAAAGTCAGTCTACCAGAGGCGATATCGTCAATGGGTTTCAAAATGGTATATTGAACCAGGTCCGCAAGTATGCGCTGATCTTCTTGCGACAACGAGAACTGCTTTCATTGACGGTATGGCCGTAATGCTCATGGTTCCGGGCGCCAAAGGCAGCTCGGTGGCATCTAGTCCTGCCAGGGAAAGATTGGGGCCGAACGATGCGTTGTAGACCAGCTAATTCCAGCCAGGCCGTGAAGACTGACCGGACATCCCGCCCGTCGTTCCCCACTGGCCGACGGCTGTCCCCGGAACTAGGGGTTTACGGAACAGCATCTACACACAATTTGCCGTCGATCGGCCCAGAATCTGACTTCTTCAGTCGCGTGGAGAATGCTTGGTAATCCGATTGGATGCCGTTTAGTGAAGAATCAGAGACCACTCGGCCGGTAAGTGAGGCGCTTTGGTCTCGATCAGACGAGTGGCTCGAAAGCAGATCTGGGAGGCAGAGCGCCCTGCTGTCTGGCCGATATATAAGGATGGGCACTCAGAGGTCTCTGGCACACAATATCAGCCGCTCAAACGCCCGGACGGTAAGCGCCCGTTTATTTTTTCCTCAAGATGAAACTTGGACTTTCTTCTTCCATCTCCGGGCAACCAACAGCGATGCCGGGAATCAGCCATCAACGGCCTCGCTAGGTCGGAATAGGCGTGGCGCCCAGCCACGCCATCTTAGTCTTGCCAGCCCTGCTAGGCTCCAGCATTGGCAAGATCAGGTCGCAATTGAGCGTCGAGCGCACAGTCTTGGGAGAGAAGGACGGCTATTAATACAGGAGCTGCCCTGAACGGGCATGCCCCTGGGTTCAAGGGCAGCGTTCGACTCTCCCCGATTCACCAACCCGAGGATCGACACCATGCACCCCTGGCTATTCCTAGGTGTGGCACTCGCCTTCGCTCAAAATGCCCTCGCCGCGAATCAGTTCCGACGACCTGCCGCCGACGGGCCGACGGGCGACTACAGCGAGAACCCGGCCTACGAGGTCGGCAAGGACATTACATTCTTATGGGACACAGACTTTGACCAGATTGACCTGGTCGTATGGAGCGACGCGTCGGATAAGCTCAAGACGTCTCTGTATAAGAGGCTCGCAGGTAGGCCTCCAAAGCGATGGAGTGGTGGGATGTTGACAAGACTCACGATGACTGACTCTCTACCAGTGAATCTGTCGAGCAGGGCGTATACATGGAAGCCCAGTTTTGATGGGTTTCCTGCCGAGGCGAAGACGTTGGGGGTGTTTTACCTGACCTTCTATCAAGCGGGAACTGTGAAGCAGGCTGCCCAGTCGCATTACTTCAACATCACCGATACGTCGGCAGCTGCGGCTTCGGCATCGGCCTCAGCTTCAGCGACGACTTCAAAGGTGACATCGACATCCGCACCGACTTCTGCAGCCACGGCGACGACACCGACTGCGTACTCGCCACCCTCATCAACGACGTCGGTTTCAGCATCCACCGATGCCGCGGTGCAGCAAGATGGAAGCGACAGCAGCGGAAGCGGTCTTTCTGCTGGCGCTGTGGCTGGCATCGCGATCGGGGCGGCCCTGGGGACATTACTTGCTGCTGGTGCTGCAGCATTCCTGTCGTGGAAACGGCATCAAAAGAAGAAAGGAGCCGACAAACCAGGCCCTGGCTCAAGAGGCAGCGTAGCCTTTGGTGATGCTGCTGCTCAGGGTTACTACGTACCGTCAGGGTACGCGCCTTCAGGCCAGTACACGTCGCCTGCATCGTACGCATCGCCCTCGCAGTATGGCGGTTACTCCGCGGAGTGGAAGAGCCCGACGGTGCAGCCCGTCGAGCTGGCAACGGACAGAACTCCTGAGCTTGGGGGCGGGATCGAACATATGGAGGAGCTTTCGACGAACAGGCGCAGCGCGATGAGTTAATAGAGTTATAGCAGACCTCCAAATGTAAACGAAAGTCGACGTTCAAACCGTTCCAGCTCCCAATGATGCCAAACCAGTGGAAGAGTTGCTGAGATAAGCGGACTTCATCCCGCTCTTGAGATTGAAACGTCGGAAAGCTTATTTCGCAAAGAGAAGGAATTGCCGACAGTTGCCGTTCCCTGAGAATTGGGGGAAGAGGGCACGGGTTCCGAGTTCCCCGAAGGCTCGAGCTTCACAAAGTCAGGTCTTTAGCAGAGCCTCATAGCCAACCTCGGGACACGGATTCCTGTCAAAATTGCCTCTCTCTCCTTCGAATCAAATCATGTCGTCAGTTGTCAGAAAAAGCAACAAAAGAGCTTGTTGGTGGCCGTCTCCAACCAGAAGCTGTAGCACCGGACGGGCGGTGGAGAAGAGCGCGACGGCCGCCCCACTCACCGCCTGAGACAAGGATCGCACGGGCCACTTGCCGCAATTTTGGTCTGGGTTTTGTTGGTTGGAACTCCTGCTCGAGTCGAGTGTCCTGAGCGTTTCCTTTCCACGTCCCAACCTCACTCACCAACGCTTTATCTGCCCTTCCCCCCCTTTCTCCCCTCCACACCTGAGAGGGAAATTCCAGCTCTCACTCAAACGCAAACTTTTGAAGCTTTCCCAGCGCCTGTTTTAAGCTTCTCAGCTTCGACCCGGCGGCGCGGTCCAAAACCTTTCCGCCACTTGCGGGCCGCTTCTTATTGGACACCTGTCTCGCCAGCCACTTGCCGAACGAACCATAACCACAACATGGCACGCCAGGCCAACGTCGCCGCCTCCTCGGGAGCTGCCGCATCAGCCGGCGGCGCCGGTGCCATTGACCCCCGCGATCGCATCATGTCGCACATGAACCGCGACCACAAGCGCGAACTTTCCTACTACCTGCAGCACTTCTCTGGTCTGGGTCGCGCCGCTGCCTCGTCTCCGTGGATGAAGGACGTCTCCTTTGAGGGCATGACTATTGCCGCTGGTGGCCTTGGCGGGAAAGAGTACTTTGTGGCCTTTAACCCGCCGTTGACCTCGTGGGAGGAGGTGCGCCCTGCCGTCGTCGACATGGCGCGGGTGTCGAGAGAGGCTCTCGGCTACAGCGACATTCTTGTCTCGCACTTTGAGGCCTCTTCGGGGTTCGCCTTGATCGTGGGCATCTCGGTCGCCTTTTATTTCGTCTGCTACCTGACGCTGGGCTTCGTCTTGCCCGGCCGACCCATTTGGGGGTTCCTGCAGACAGTGTTTCCCGGTGGTCCGCTGTTTTACCGCTGGCTCGTCAAGACCATCTTCTTTCCTGTCTTGGGCATCCATCTCACCGAGTGCTGGTGGTTCCACAGGACTCGTCTGGTCAAGCACGGCATCGAGCCTGGCTCCAGTGTTTGGTGGCAGTGGGTTAGCAGCCTGTTTTTTGAGGGTTACCCTGGCTTCCAGAGGTTTGATGCCCTCGTCGCGGCCAAGAGGAAGGAGCAGGCGGAGGCTGGCAAGAGCCACTGAGGGCTAGGTTCGACACAAATCGATGTCTGGTTTGTTTGGGCTGAGCCCAGTCGACGGAGCAGGCGACACGCGTGGGAAGAGTGAACCGGGCGTATGGTGAACAGAAGCGACGGTCATGCGTCAAAGAGGGACTCTGTTCGGACCCGACACTAGCTACCGCTGGCAAACCGCACTCAGCAACAGGTCACCGATGCTGGTCTGGCCGTTCGATACCCAGGTTTCGGAACCGATCTTTGTTTGCAGAGACGAGTGACGGGTAGAGTGCTCTGGGTCGATGAGAAAACACAGCCCTCCAGGATACTTCTCGCCGAGTACATCTGAGGGTCGGTTAGCCATTGTAGTTGATACGAGAGTAATGGTAATGGAAATAAAAGAAAGCTTGCATTCACAATGGCTCGTTTCCGGATGGAGGCAATCGCGTCTGGTGCTGCCCTCATGGTCAAGGGGGACAAGAGTTGCTGCTCGGTTACCAGTTGTCCTGATGCGTCTTCGCAGGTATTGCCTTCTTGAAATTGCGTCTGACGTGGCGTTGGCTGCATTCATTTCGGGTGCAGGAAAGAGGTACCTGCCAAGCGAGGGCATCACATCGCAGTGTGTGATGGAAACCGGGGCTTCTGGAAGCTATCAACTGCCGCGCACAACTAGTGCCTCCCGCCTTATTCCTCATTCCGTAGTAGGCGCGAAGTCTAAGGTAGTGTGCCCAGCCAGAAGATCGACCCGATGTTGCTGCATGTTTCAATTGTCAGAACGCTGATCGGTTGCTGACGGCAAGAGGTAGGTCGTTTCTCAACGCTGTTTGGCGCCGTCCGCCGGAACGGGCTAGTGCATTGAGCGGGACCACACCTCGGCTACCCGTTTCCCACTGAAAACTATCGACCCGGCTCCTCTTTCCGACCGACCTTTCACCTCCATAGCTTGCCGCCTTCCGTTTCCTTCTATTGCAGCAATATTCTCACCCATGGCCGACGACGACACATCATCAAGGTCGCACCGAGTGTCGGCATTTTCAGTCAATGCTTGCCTCGCGGCACATCTGCCTCTGACGTTCCCATGCCTCGGCTCGCTTGCTTTTCGATGGAACGTAGTTTCCTCGGGACATCTCCAACCTTGTGCACCGCAAACCAGCAAAGAAGCTCAGCCAAGGCGAACCTAACGGCTGGTGCTTCGCCAGCTGCAAGATCTCCATCATAAGGCAGAATATCTCCATATTTTCCCGCGTCAATCCAGCCTTTCCCCGTCGAGGCAAGCTTGCGAGCCTTTCCAGCCCTTAGTGGCGTCTGCACCCACCCGCTTTAGACCACTTCGTGTGGTCACATCGACATTGAAGTCTTTGTCTGCGCGGGACGTCGATCAACACGAGGGCGAATACCTCTGCCAAGTATCGAAAGTGGCTATCAAGAGTCCAATCGCATTTCAAGAGCATCAAGATCGATGATTCTGCACCCGATGCCTATGGCCAATATACTGCAGTCTAGTCCCTTTGGCCCTCACCGCATATCTGGGAACAAATATCATGTTTGCACCAACCACCGTCCCTGAACCATCCCGACTTGGATATGTCTTTGTCTGCCGATATTCAAGCGAGGTAACATGGCTCACCCCTGGCGACCTGAGCTGGAGTTGACTTTCTCGAGGGGCACATGCAAGCCGTCTCGAAAACGACGTGGCTATTTTTGTCTCAAAACTGACATCGAAATCAATCAAATTTCTCCAGCCATTGCTGAGTGCTTGTAAAGCCGGAGATGTTGAGCATCAGAGGCGCAGTCGGTGTTGCTGTCGCAGATGAGCTCGAAAAGCAAACTCGACTTGGTGGTTGTCGGCATCACGAGCCGAAGTTGGGATCTTTGTTTTTGGACGGTGGCTGCGATCCTCTTTCAGTTGCCGATGAGCCATTCTCAACAAACGCGGGCGACTCCCAAACACAATCAATCCTCCATGGCGTCAATCACGAAGATCGTCGGGCTCGCCTTCACTTAAACGACCTTCGCGGAACACCACCGTCACAGGTGCCTGCCTACCACCGTGCATTACATGCGCAAGCTCCAAAGCAAGCGGGGGCTGCCGTCCTCACGGACACGATACGGTTGGCCAGCGTTTTCCGAACCTCACCCTCCACTCCGGAGCACTCCCCGGAGCTGTCCTTAGTTTGCGGATGCAGCTGGAGAACCTCGTCGTGCCGGGTCCCTAGCGCAGCCGAGGCACGCCAAACTACAACGTTATATGCACTAGCTCACTCTAGTGACCGATACAAACGTCATACAAGTGATGGAGGAAGTTGCCGATTGAGAACATTGAGAACGAGCCAAGGGAGCGTACTCGGCAGCCCGATCTCCTACTGTAGGAGTGGTTTGGCCATCATGGAAGTTCCGATTGTCACCACATTTGGTATGAACGCGTGGCCATTTCACTGCGGAAGAATCACTATTCATGTTTGTCTTATCAGGTCTATTCAATGACTCTAGGCCCTCTCAATGGCTCGCTTCCATCCAATCTACATGGCGCAGCCCTGGCGTACCTTTCGTCTGGTTGATGCCGAAGTCAATTCAGCACGGAATCGACGGTTTGGTTGCGCTGTGCCTGGATTGAAGCGAAGGATTTTACGCTCGGTCTCGCTCTACTGCAAGGGCCATTGCCGCATTCGGGACTTTTTCATCCAATGCTGAGTCTCTGGCTTTGCTGCGTAGTCGAGCATTGACAAACGAAAAGTCAAACAGCCTCAATGCCGGCGGGGTTGAGTCGCTAACTTTGTAGCTAAATCATGAGCCCCGCCCCCTAAGGCGTCATCCTCGCCTGTGACTGCCACGACTGGGAGCTTGGCTGCGGGAGTACGATGAGATCACTAATATGCTACCGTGATATCGGCAGCCGTTTAAACTCGCGAAGGGGCCCATGTTGGGGAAGGCTTAGAATTAGTCGTGGACGGCTATGGAAGCCTACATTCTACCAACCATCGTCAACAAAAACTCACCGACATTCTAGAGGGTCCGACAAGAAGAATACGGCCGGCCCAATACGGCGGTGCAATTGCAATGCCGCGCCGGCGGCTGACCCCGCTCGTACTCTGACTTTTCGCCCGCACCACTCGCCGGGTTGACCGCTGCTGGGACCCCTATGCAAGGCGATGGGGTTGGCACACCTTGCCCGGCCACTGTCAATTGAACAGTTGATTCATGTCACATCCCAAAGGACGGCCGAGTTGCATATGATATGCAGGTTTGTCATTCTGCAATATGAATTCGCTAGCCGCACGTGGCTGGAAAAACGAAAAACTGGACCATTGTGGGCATCGAGGTTGGATCGCTGCGAGCTGAGAGGGGCAAACAGGGCTCCCCAATTCGGACACTCTTGCGAACCTACCCACAATCCGTCCTGCCCCGGCTAGTTGGCTCTGAGGCTCTATCGATGAACCCTCCAACTGCCCTGTCATCCGCACATCTGGGTGCCGACGACACTCGTATGAGATGGGTCCCCTGCAATAAACAGGTGGGTGGCCCATGCGACGCCCGTCTAGCCTCATCACTCTCACCTGAGTGCGGGCTGGCTATCCGGGGTATCCATCACGACCATGGGACGATTGCGGGAGACATTGCGCATTCTCGGACCCAAACACTAAGAGCAGGCCCGGGGAGATGGAGATGGTCTCCTCGGCAAGCATGGCCCACCGTGGTTACGGCAGAGTTCGCTGACATATTAAAGACAGGGCCCAATCTCCATTATCGTTGGTAGATCACCACCGGCGCTTCTCTCCATCTCAGCGACTGACAGCTGTGAGGCCACTCGTTTCCGTCGCAGGTCCCTTGGTCCCTTAGCCCCCACGCCAACCCCAGGTCTTTGGTATCCGTCACCTTGGTTGAGTCGTCGATATCCACCATGAGGGCCCAAACCACCATCAGTAACGTCCTGAGGGCAGTGGTCATCGTCTCTGGTCTCACCACTGCCACCCCTCTCCTCCGTCGATGGACTGTTGGTCAGGCTGTTAACACCACCGGCGGACTGGTCAATGGACACGCCGCACCCGATGTGGACCAGGTTCGCCAACTACACTGATGTTGAAGGGCTAAGCTAACAGGGGCAGGTTTCTGAGTATCTAGGCATTCCGTACGCTGAGCCGCCCGTCGGTAGCTTGCGCTTTCAGCCTCCCGTCAAGTTCACTGGCACCAAAGCTATTAACGGCTCCGCTTTCGTAAGTTTCAAGACTTCGGGGAGGCTTGCCTGGCAATGCTCTCGAAATTTTCACCCATGCTCCTGAACTTGAGACTGACAAGCATTGACCAGGGCCATCAATGCATGCAACCAGCCGGCAGCAGCACATCTCTCGACGCCATCAAGAAGCTTGGTGTCCCCGCCTCGGCTGCGGTAGTTCTCACCGCACTCACCGACACCGGCTCCCAGAGTGAGGACTGTTTGACTCTAAACGTGTGGTCGAAGCCACAAGCCGGCGATGCCAAGAAGGCTGTGTTGGTCTGGATTCATGGAGGCGCCTTCACAACAGGTAACCGAGCGTCCGTCCGATGTTTTCGGCAAACCGGCCACTGACTCAGTTGCAGGAAGCTCCCGAACCGCCGCCTACAACGGAAGGTTCATTGCGGACGAGAATGACGTTGTGGTCGTGTCCTTGAAGTGAGTTTCTGCCGGAGTTCGGATTTAAGGGCAACTCAACTAACACGGGTCTCCCCGACAGCTACCGCCTCAACGTCTTCGGCTTTCCTGGAAATCCTGTTACGGCCCCTAACCTTGGGCTTCTCGACATCCGTATGGCCCTTCAATGGGTTCGGGATAACGTTGGCAGGTTTGGAGGCGACTCTCAGCGCATTACGATCTTCGGCCAGAGTGCTGGCGGGTCGCTCGTGGACTACTACTCATATGCCTACGCGTCCGATCCGATTGCAAATGGCTTCATCCCGATGAGCGGAGTCGCCACGGGCTTTGGTGTCTTCACCAACGAAACCGTTAATGCCAAGTGGTTCAACGTTACCAGCAACGTCGGCTGCGGCGGCAACACAACCGACCCCAAGGCCGTGTCCGAGTGCATGCTCAGCAAGACCGCTGAGGAGATCATTGGCAAGGGATTGTCTGCCAGCGACGCCGGATTGGGCTCCGCGAACGGTCTCTCCTTTGCACCAACGGTCGACGATGCGCTTGTCTTCGCCGACTACAGCGGTCGCCCATCGGCCGACGGCGGCTACGTGATCGGCAACCTGGAAAATGAGGCCGGTCTGTTTAAGCTCGGAAGCCCGGACACCAACGAAACGTACTGGCTCGGACTCAACAATGTAGCCTTCACCTGCCCAGCTGGCAGACGAGCGGCAAGAGCCGTTACTGCTGGCCATCCCACTTGGAGATACCGCTACTTTGGCGATTTCCCCAACCTTGCCATCACCACAACGCCTGCTAGCGGTGCATGGCATGCATCTGAGGTCAGTTGTGCTTTCTTTTTTCCTCTGCCCGCTTTGATATGAGACCTTGCAGCTGACAGCGCTTAGCTCCCTGTTCTTTTCAACACCGTGCCCCAGTCAGCGATCAACAGCACCGTACAAGAAGTGGCCGTCGGCAAGTACCTTCGCGGCGCCTGGGCTGCTTTTGCCAAGAACACCAAGACGGGCCTGATCGACTACGACTGCCACGGCATGTGGCCGATGTACAAGCTCGACGACGAGAAAACCATGAACCGCATCTCGTTCGCCAATGGCACCGGCAGCAACCTAGTTGCCGGCGGTTCTTACGACGGCTTGTGCGCGATACTGGGCTTGCCCGTCAACTGAAAAGGCTAGACAAGATCAGCAGAAACTCTGACAAATATATACATAAACCTACCATAATTGAATAATTAGACATACATACACACCATCTTGATGTATTTGTTATCATGCCCTCTTTACCTGGCGCGGCTTTCTGGCGCAGTTTCCATGCTCTCTTTCGGGCTTTCTGAAGGGCCCGTGCCCGTTGACCTGACTTTCAGCAGAAGCGAGAAATGATATCGTCTCGTTTCCCCGGACGTCTTTTCTCTTTTCGCTCTCGGTCGTTTCAGATTCTCGAATGATTTCGAAGATTACGATCAACGGCTAGAAGACGGGAGTCCACGTGCTTGAGCGAAGCGAAGCCCCTGAAAAGGAAAAGGCAGGTGGACAGGGTGACAATTTCATCAATTAGCGACATTCAACACTGCAAAAAGTACGTACAGGCGCTGATTCCTCAGGACAGCAGGCCGACAAGTCGGCTGTGCACGCTCCAAACTCTAAATGGACCTCTTGTACGACATCCGTCGTCGTTTGCATCTCTCTTCGAATTCAAACAAATACCAACGCTTTTTCCGAGCCGTTCAACCCCAAAAACCACGGGAGATCCAACTGATGCAGACCACCAACATGTTGTACACACCCCCTAGCGACTCCCACGATAAGTGAGCCACACCGCCGCCGCTATAGCCGGGTACTGTTTCCACCATTACCACCACCAGCCTGCTTGAGCTGCTGCAGCAGTGCGTCGACTTGCTGGGTCTTCTCCCGCAGGCGGTCTGTTGACGCCGATGCCGCTGCGGCAGAACCGCTGCCGCTGCCGCTAGCCACGACGGCCAATGTCTCCGTGACGGTCGAGTCCCTGCTGGCGAGGTACTTGGCCAGCATAACGGCGTCCTCTCTGGGTACCGGCTGTCTGCGAACGGATTAGCACCCGCATCATCCCGCGCGAAAGGTCGTCTCCGAGGATTGCCCCTCCCCCTCCCTCTCCTCCTTCTCTCGACGTGGCACGCTGTGATCCATACCTTTCACCGGAAACTGCCATCGATGGACCTTCTGATTCTAGAGCCATTGGGTCGCTGCTACAGCTCGGCGATGTCCGTAATGGCGTTCTTGACTGAGTCCTTGCCGGATTGAGCACCGTTCTCGACTTCCATGTAACGATATCTGGGCTACCGTCAGTCTCGATTGAGGTGTTGGCTGAATCATTCGGGGTACTTACGAAATGGGCGGAATTCGCTTCGACGGGTCTCGAGCTCATCAATTGGGTCAAAACTGGCATCAATTGAGATCCCTTTCAACATGAACAGCTTCCGGGGTGTCACTACGCTTTTCTTATATGCCACCGGGTCCTCTTCGCAAGTGAAGCCATCGCAGTCTACGCGGTTGCGCGTACTTTGCAATGCGACGACTTTGCCCTGCGAGCGGGTCACGCAGGGAGCGGCATCTGCGCGACATTGCGCGCACTCGTACCGTTTTGATGGCATGACGGACAGCTCAGCTGCTCCCCAGACAGATCGGGATCTTCATTATGCTCCCCCCCGAACAATCCGGGGCGTCCAATCGTTCTTATCATGGCTTGTCTCTGCATCTCGTCATTGGATTGCGAAGTGAGGCGGCCTCACTGGCCCATTGCTCCCCTCTTTTCATCGATATCCTCGACAGAGTCTCACGCAAATGCGTGGGCCGCGCGCGCGCAACCGCGGGCTGACTGCGAGGCAACTTCAGAGGGTCAGCGTAGGCAACCAGAGGTATAAGAAGACTGGCAGTTCGTTGCCTGATTCTTGTCTTCTTCCTGGCCGGCATCAACGCAAATCTAGAATCCGCAACTTCGTGGCATCCTTCTCTCCCTTGGGCACATCCTCAGGCACAGCCTCAAAGTTCTCCTTCGTTGTAGCATCAGGTCCCAATATCAAGGAGAACATCAACATGTCCCAACAGTAACTCTTGCGTGCACTCGAGAAGAATGCCCGCAGCAGTAGCCAGACACTTTCAAGCGCCTTATCCATTCAACTTATTCCGCCGCCCTCAACTCAAGAACCGCACCAAACGCCCAAAGATCGACTTCTCTCCTCTGATATCCCGTTGGTTCAAGGCTCAACGTTTCCGTCGACCGAGCACTTGCCTACCGGACATGCCTGAGAATCACCAAGAACCCACTTCCAACCCAAAGAAGTCCTCCGACACTCTACTTGCAGTGAGACAAGCCTCAGTGAGCCTTCGCGTGATCAAAAACCCAGGATCTCAAGCCTAACTCTCACAGGGAACATCAACCAACGGATCCATTCACTCCCGTATTCAACATCGCGGGGGAGGAAGCGAGCCATATTCTTCGCCGCTATCACCACAACACTCGGCCGCTACTTCGGACACAACTCCAGGTCGAGTCAAGACAAGTCCCCCGGCTAATAAGTCCATCGACGGCTACCTTGAGTGGCGCAAAGCCTTATTCATAAGCATCTTTATGGCGAAATTCGAAGAACAACTTGACAAGACCATCTGCACTCTTGAAGAGGCAAACGACTACGAGGGACAGGGCCAGAGCGACTCCAACTCATCGGGGGCTAGAGGGGTCAAGAGGTATGCAAGCTCTATTAAGTTGAATCCGGGGGCGAAGAGACAGCATCGTGAAGACGGCGAAGAGCCAGATCAATCGGACAACGAGGACGATGATGCACACAATCACGCTCAGAAGAAACGTACCAAGACGGGCGACGGACGAAAGTTCGCTTGCCCATTCTTCAAGTTTGACCAGGAAAGATACCAGTCCCAGCGCACTTGCTGCGGACCTGGTTGGGATGAGATCCATCGCCTCAAGTAAGTGCGAACTGCATCCGTAGCGACTGAATCTTAGCCGACGTGTCCACTAACATGTTCCAGGGAACATCTCTACCGCAATCATCTTCTCATCACTTGCACTCGATGCTTTGGGCACTTCAAGTCTGAGAAGCTTCTCCAAAAGCACCAAAGAACAAAGGACGAATGCGTCTGGCAGGAGGAAAGCTCCTGCATCATAGACGCGGGCGCGGGGATAGACTCTGTAAAGGAAAAGCAGCTCAGGGCCAGGAGCAAAGAAGAAGATGACGTCGACAAGTGGTATGAGGTGTACCACATCCTCTTCCCTTGCAAGATCGCTGCCGAGGACCTTCCGACCCCTTGTAAGTGCTCCGTGATACCATGTAGCGTAGTGTTTACCGGGTGTTGACCTGGGAGTTAGGGTACGACGCCCCGAATGGCAAAAGTGGACTTTCGAACGATGACGACCTGAGGCGCAAGTATGTGTATTTCCTGCGACGTGAGATCCCGAAGATGATTCGGCAGCAGCTTGTGGCCGACGTCGAAAAGGAGTTTCAGGATCTCGGTGCCACGATTCAGGGTCGTCTGTCGTCGTGGATAGCGACATCTGCTGAAAAATGCAAGAGTGTCTTCCAGTCCATCCCGACACCCACTGAGGCGGCGGCGCTGCCGAATCCTGACACGAGGGCCAACTCTCGTGCGGCCTCGCCGGCGGTCGACGTTGGTTCTTCCTTTCTGGAGAACTTTGAGTCGTGGCCTTATGAGTTTCCAGTCTTCAACTTCAACTTCGACTCGGAGATGCTCAGGTTCCCAAATTTGGAATGTCCTCCATTGGACGACTCAGCTTACGGCACGGGGAGCTACGGACCCGACGGCTCCTCGGAGACCTGGAATATTGAGCCAGCGGCTCATTGAGGAGCACCTCACATACGTTGCTTTCGATTCACGCCTTCATTGCATCATCTTATGACTTGAATATGTCGGTTTTCAAGTCACCCAGTCATTACCACCCTGTGTCACCTCTATCCACACTCATTTGACAAACTATTCCTCTCTTTTGTATGTGTATTGCTCGTGTGTTTGAGTAATAACCAGTCGGGTGGAGGGAGATCGTTGGAAACCATAAAGGAGGCCTTGAGAGTACGAGTAATCAGTTGGTCAAAGGGTTTCATGTATGAATTATGTCGCCGACGCTCGCTTGCCCAACATGGAGTACGGTTTCTCTTGCTTTTGCCAATGTCACAGATGTTAAACACGATCCATCCCGCGTGACAAGAGCAAGAAAATTGTCTAAGGCTTCGATTCCATCAAAGCCTATCCGCACTGCGCACCTCAGCCTACTATCCACCGATTTCGAGTAAGGTTTTTGGAAGTCGTCGTTGCGCAAGTGTTCAGACACGATGGTGCACTTGACAAAGAGCGATTATTCAATCACAAGCAAGGATGGGTATGGGGGTGAGCAACGTTGAATGGACTTACAGCATCACCCCCTATCGCTCAGCGCCAGCAGTCTCTTAAGACTGCGAGGACTGTTCAAGGCAATCCACTTACTCATGTAGCCTTGAAAATGGCAGGCAGTGGTCGTATAGTCAACGCGGATGCGCTGGGTCGTTTGCTCGCCGCGGAATCACTAGATCTCCTGCTGCTTAGACGAGACAGCCTGCTGCGAGCGTGCCACAGCGTTTGTGGTATATACGTCAGTGGGGCAGAACCAGCCATTTTCGAGGTGGAATGTTCTCCAAAAATGAAGAGAATTTAGGCCAGTAAGTAATATTCAATCGACGGCAGTCTACCTAGCCTAGGGAAATATAGGCTTGGATCTTCGGCTGCCCCTATTGCTTCAGATGGTCTACTTATGATCCGCCAAGAGAAGTTGCTCCTTTGAGCGTCTAGTATGTCTCCCAACGTAGTACATGAAGCTATTCAGAGAGGCCAAGCCAGACCTTTTCGTTGGACCTGTCTTGGCAGTTGCCAGTTGTCAGATGAACCGCCGGAATAGCCTTCTAGTTAAAGTTGATGCTACTGGGACTTCCCGACGACTAGTTGTTCTCGGAACCTTGAACGGCAAGCCGCAAGTCTAATTAAATTTGGAGAGAGGCATGGATCAACATTGAGTCATGATGAGATGCTGCCGAGATACGGGCTCCTGAACCTTCCAAGCCGGCTGCCGAACTCTGAAGAAGCTTTGTGTGATGTCCGATTCTGTCCTATATCCTATACAGCGATACAAAGCCTGTATACGAGCTGTGAGAAAGCACAGCCCACTTGTATACGAGAAAAGTCTTCGGCGGAAGCTTGATGTGCACGTACTGTGTCGGCAGGGCTATCTGCCCGGATCGGCGGAGCGGATCATGCAGAGACGTGGTGGGCAGTAACTTTTGTGTTGAAGTATTCAGCCAGAGGCTATTTAGCCAACGAACAATTACATCTGTGTTCATTATGCCTGCTGCCTTCTCCCGTAGTATGGAAAGCGAGTCATCTTAACTTCCATTTTGAAAGAGCCTTTCTGCAAGACGAATAAGCTCGTGATATCTATCAACTTCAGGAGAGTGGGGGTTTCGCTTCTGTGAGTCCAAGAGGGAGTGTAAGCAATGTAAATCCTCTCCTGAGCATCACTGCGTTAGTTATCGGGCAATTGTTTTGCAGACACTATTGGAAGCCTCAACTTACCCGCAAACTCACTCGACTCAAGCAACTCTCTGCCCATCAGCGCCGCAACACCATCGTCAACAAGCCGAGGACACAGCCCGAGAAACATAAACACCATCGGCATACGAAATCGTCGGTTAGCAAAACATCCCGCGAGGCGCATCGCCCGGCGCACGTCTCCCGCCTCCATCTCCCTCGACGAGGACCCGAGCTCCATCCGCAGGATGAGCACGGCGCCGCACCACGTCGCCGGCAAGTCCCGGTACCACAGCGCCGGGAACAAGCTCCTCAGCCCGGCCTCGCTCAACGCCTGCAAACTCACGCGATCGCACAGCTCGGGGTCAAGGGGAAGCCTGCCCTGCGAGAGGTACTCCCCAAAGTACGCGTTGCCGCTCCGCCACCGCCACAGCCGCTGCAGCCCGTCCTTGTCGGGGGGTATGCGCGAGTAGCCCCTGAAGGCGTTGATGGCCTCGAGGTCGCGGATGAAGGCGCCCTCGGGGAACTGAGTCGTGTCGACCACCAGAAGGTACAGGTCCTGCGGGCTTTCGCCGGTGTAGTGTCTGTGCACGGCGTAGTGGAGAGCGAAGAGGAGCGAGCTGGTCCAGGAGACGAGGTTGGAGTCGAAGGCGTAGAGGCTGAGGAGGTGGTCTTCGAGCTTGTGGGCGATGAGGGCTGGGGAGAATGGTGGGGTGGAGAAGAGGTCGTGGTGGCGGGTTGGGGAGTTGTTGAGCCAGGCGCGGGAAGAGACTGATGTTGTGGAGGTTTCACCGGCGCTGAGGGGGCCTGTGAGACGGAATAGGAAGCGGGGGATGTTGGTTGTGCATCGTTTTAGGATGGCATGCTGCGGAAAGTCTTGGAGGTGGATTGCACCGGGTTGAAAGAGGACTGGGCCTGTTTCTGAGCCTTCTAGAGACATTATTGACTGTAGATCACATTCAGAACGAAATTGAACAGGAGGGGGGAATGACCAAAGTTCAGCGACATCGGTGAAATGCCGGTAAAGAACCGATGGATAGAGTTTCTGTTGCTAAACAATGCATAAGCTTTGACAGTAGTTCGGATGAAGTTCTGGTAAATTGGTCAGGCGAGAGGGCGAGATGGCGGCAAAATATTATGGAGTGTTAACAGTCAATTGATGAAAAGATAGGATAGTTACATCCTGAGGAAATCCATGTGTTGAATATTTCCAGACCGAACTTGTTAGAAATGTAAGACTCACTCACCGCACTCGAGGGAAATGTGAAAAGAACAACAAGCAAAGGAAGAGGAAACGCGCCGACAGATCAAACGTACGGAGAGATGATTAAACATGGGATCAACATCAACGCTGGGAAGAAAGTAACCTATTTGCCCCAGAATCGGTGGATCCCCTGGCATTCCAGTGAAGTGGAATACTTCATGTTGACAAGCAAGCCGTCAACCCCCTGAAACCCAATAGTCTAGGAGAACTCAGAATACCATAGGCCACTTCTCAACCTAACTTGTGGGCCGGCTGGACGTGTGGTCTTTGAGGGCTAATTTTCATCACTGTTCTTCTTGTAACTACATTTCTGTAGATACTTCTGCGGATCATGGCGAATACCACTCTTCAGTGCGTGATACGAGAAATCGGAACCACCCTAGCTTCTCACGACATGACAACGGAAGAGAGGTGGCTGCATTCATCCTGTCCGCAGCAACAGCGCGCCCATCTGGCTCTCCTCGTTGACGGACCCATAGCATAGGAAGAATCCTATGACGGACGAGGAGATTCAGAGGCAGACCCCAAATTTACAAAGTTGAAGCGGAGGAAAAAAGGTCTGTGGGCGCGCGGATGTGAGGTCGTGACTTTCAAAGTCTCCTTTTTTTTCTTGAGAGCGAGCAAACCCTTGCTTTCGTACTTTTCTTCTCTTGCCATTGAGTCACCTAGATATCAAGGTGATGAAATCTCTACTGGTAGCTCCTACTTGGTCTTGGTTGCCTAACTCAAAGAGGTTCAGTGAATTACATTAAGGTATTGGCTTAACACAGACCTGGTGGAAAGTCTGTTTACAACAAGCTCACATGAACCTCGCTGATGTTGTGACGCAAACAACGGTCCTATAATCTCAAAGAAGGGTTCAAAAGACTGTAAAATTACCGAGTCTTTGCTATCAGCAAATTTCATAGTAGAATGCGGTGAGAGATCTATTTGAACACCGCAGCTTTCATAAGTTTTCCTATGAAAGTTAGTCACTTCATAAAAAGAGTTCGATGTAAGAAGGCAAGGCCAGAAAGGCGCTAATCCACATTACCCAGTTGCACACCGGAGCTATGTTGGAGCTTTTGCTACATCCACCATACGTCAGTCGCTGAGAACAGACTACGGCGTGTAAACCATCCCAGCGCGCCTTGAGCAATGTGAAAAGGCAAGGGGTCACATCACAGAAATCCGGCGGCAGCACCAGGCCAATTCAAATGGAACGTACCGCGATGAAGTTGTCAAGGAGCTCACGAAGATAGAACACAGTCTTCTTGATTGGAAGTACAAGTTTGAAGACCGGTTCCGTTGAATGTGTTGATAGTTGTTATCAATATTCTCTACGTCACAATATGCAAATAACCAACAATCTTGGCTGCATGAACCGCATACGTTTCCTCGCTGGGAGTGCCTAAGAACGAACCCTAGTCTGACTGACAAATTGCCCTGCTACTTTTCATCAAGGAGTTACAAAAGTATCAACCCCTCCAGTGATCATCCCTACGAGATTGTCTGCGGACATCTGCAACTCGAAGTTGAAGTCGACAAGCGCTGGTAAGCACATCGCTGCGAGTGATTTTCACGGTGAACATCATTAATCGATGCTCAACATCGACTTTATCTGGTGTTCTGATGTTGCTCACCAGAAATGCCAACGGCCTCTGTAGTTTCAGTCTCCAGTTTTGCCATGCCAATTGCAAATTCACATATATCAGCCTGTCCTAGGCAATGTCAGAAGTTGGTCGTGCACATCGCCCCATCGCAACTCTTAAGTCCCCTCTTAAGACCCCAAACCCCCATCACGACGGCGCGGATCGTTGCACCTCCGAGCAGTCCAAGCTTCTAGAAAAAACGTCAGCGGGCCCCCTGTCTCAAGGGAAGCGATAAGCGTGTCAAATATGAACACATTCTTCGCATGACAAAACGCGGAGCTCAACAAGCTTATACTGGCGATCAAACCTTGCTTGTAGGCGGGATCAGCGGTGCCCAGGGGGGGACTCATACGCGTCGTTTTATGAGAATCCCCGCGGATCAATTTCTTGTGTAG